AATCAATCRCCTGAAATGTTGTGGGTATGAATGGAACTGCTCTAAACTGGTTTAAATYCTATTTAAGTGATAGGTTCTTCTGTGTATCAATTGGTAACAMTTCCTCTAATTTTGTAAATCTCACTTGTGGTGTTCCTCAGGGCTCTRYTCTTRGCCCACTACTGTTTTCTATTTACATGCTACCTCTTGGTCAAGTTATTTGCAAATACAATATCTCTTTTTACTTCTATGGAGATACTCAAAATTTATTTATCCATCAGATCTGTCTGCTGTAAATATAACTGTTCATGTCTCATTATGGTCTGGATGTCCGACAACTTTTTATTGTTAAACAATAACGAAACTGAGGCATTGTTTTTTTTTCCCAAGGCTCATAAAGAAGAGACCCTATCATTTGAATTATTAACTCTTCAGGTTTACATTGAGCCCATGAGGCTATAGAAACCTTTGAGGTGGTTTTCAGATCKGAGCTTTACAATAATAATAATATTATTATTATAAGCTGGCTTTTAATTGTTGATTTTTGTTTGTTTTATATATTTATTCTTAATTAGTGCTATATATTTTATGTGTTTTGATTTTATTATGTGATGTAAAGCACTTTGTATTTGTGTTTTGAACGGTGCCATACAAATCAATTCATTTTTATTATTATGTAATAAAATGACTGCACTAACATTTTTATTTAGGGATGTAGGCCAATAAAAAGTTAGTTAGCTCAAAACAAGTGTCAAACAGCAAAACAAGCTGTTTGGCAGARGAGATTTRGCAAACTTTTTTATGTGCGCAACCCACATACTCATGTCGTACTCTCATATTCTTTCCATTGGTAWTATTTACTATTYAATGCCAAGAAGCATTGTTAAGACAAAGAAATAATCTACCAAACAGAAATGTCCTTACTTTTTATGCTACTTTTGTGACTTTATCAATTTTTTTTTCATATTTAGAAAATTTGATGCACAATTTATCAGTACTATATGCTTTTAATAGGAGTGCTTTAAATCAAATAAACAAGAGTTTAGACAAAAGCCTTTGTTCAGTTATTTATTTCTTAACATGTTGAATATTTCAGCTCACTGGTTTTATGTATGAAAAAATACATAAACAAACAAACAAAAAAAAAGAACCTTTTATAGCAGTGATTGCTTGCGTCACAGCTTTAATAAGTACATTGTCTCGGGTTTTTTGAAACTTTTGCACCAGCAGAGCCAATATCCACAATTACCTTTGTACGCTTTATATTCCAAAACTCCCAAGATGTACTGCAGGACGGTTCTGACTGTGTAATGTGCCTGGAATGTACTGTTTAGCAATCAGAGCCGCAGTCAGTCACCTGCTTGGGCATGCGGGAACATAAGAAGGACGAGACAGCCTTGACATGAGGTTTCGCTGGGGTGCCAAGAGCAGTAAACACCTCCAACACTCAGCCTGCAGGGGAGAGTTAAGAAGGGGTTTATGACCAGTGAGATGCTTTTGATTTTGCCGCCGATTTTAAGCTTTMGGACTTTGTGGCTGTGTTTTATAATACTGTAAAGCAGGAGATTGGTTAAGTCCAGTATGATTAATCAGGTAACCACGGGCCGATTGACAGTTACAGGTATTAACCACCAGAAGTGACTCAGAACTGTYAGTGACAGTTTGTGGGAAGCCTTAGGCACAAATTATCCTATATTTGTTCACACACACATGATTTTCTTATTTATCTAACTGTTCAGTTTTCTCTGGTGGTTTATGAATAGACAAAAAGTCATTTTCATTTTTGAATAAGTTTGTCTTTAGCTGCCCTTTGAGGGAATAAATGTGCTCCAATTATGCATTGAAAACACCTAACCGTGTAACAAATAACCACGAGAATTGATAAATTTGAACCTTTAAATTTCAAACATGTTCTCATYTTTGTCATTAGAGCTTTAGTATTGAGAAAAAAATTACACCCTGCAAACAACACCTGAAGCGGTTTCTTGAAATTTAACATTAAATCCTGTGCATCATGGTCCACTGATGTCTCTCTAATTTAACTGTTGTTTGTATTTTTACGGAAATCTAAATGGTTTGAGACTAAATTGTTAATAACAAAACTTCATTTCATATTCCTTTAGATCAGGGTTTTATAAAGTATACAAGCATGTGTGTGTGTGTGTGTGTGTGTGTGTGTGTGTGTGTGTGTGTGTGTGTGTGTGTGTGTGTGTGTGTGTGTGGTCAGGGTTAGGCTGTAAAATTACCAAAAAAATGA